GTAACCTAGTAATTCTTGAAGTATCCTTAACCGGTAAGAATACTGGAGATTTAACCATGTCGAATGGTTTCGAACCCTCTCCAAGGTTCAAATGCACCCTTCTTCCAGGGCCCCCTCTTCCGGGTGATTAAGTCTTTTAATGGCCCTTTGATTTCTACCATCCCGGGAAGGCCTTAGCTCACCCTCCCGTTCAAGTCTTCCCTGAGAAGGGGGAAACAGGATGCGCCACAGTGGATGATCCCCTTCTATTTCTTTTAATGGGCATCTTTTAGTCCCCAATCAATTTGACGGCGCCGGCTGATTCCCCGACACCAGTCAAACCTCATGGGCCCGTGTAAGTACGGTTCGAACCTTCTTCCAGATCCAGCCCTCTTGCAGGCATACCCTCTTCCGGGCCCCTCTTCCGGGTTTTCATATTTTTTCTATTATACTGAGCAAGACCGGTGTAGTAACCAGCGTGCCAGGTCCGAGCCTGTGTCTCAGTTGGCTTATCCAAGTGGATTCGATCCACCCAGGAAGCCCTCCTAGGATAGGTTCGACCTATCAATTTTGCCGCTACCAAGTAGAGTATTGAACATTACTTTGATTGATAATGCAGTTAGGCCTCGCCTAGTATTACAATCATTTATAGAACTTGCGAAGATAGTGGGAATTCCAAGTTCTTTCTATCGGTACACCATCTAAAGTTTCCAACCGGTATGTTCCTGGTCGAATGATGACTCTAACCCTGTATGGGCCTTCCTAGTTTTTTGCTAGCTTTCCTCCGTCACCGGGTCTACTTGCTTCTCTTCTTCGTAGGACTTCATCTCCAACTTGGAAGTACCATGGCCCAACCTTGTTGTCATGGTACTTTTTCACAACTTGTTGGTACGTACTCATTTTAACTTCCGCGGCCATTCTCCGCTCTTCGACCAAGTTGAATTCGGCCAAGTGATCTTCCTCATTCTGCTGGGGTTGATAATTTGACTCCCGAAACGTGGGCAATTCAGCTTCGATGGGCAGCCTTGCTTCACACCCATAGGTTAGGGAGAATGGAGTATTCCCATGAGCCCTCCTGGGTGTTACTCGGAACGCCCATACGATGTGTGGGAGCTCTTCCAGCCATTTGTTTCCTGCCTCTCCCAGCCGTTTCTTCAAACCATTTACAATAGTTCTGTTGGCGTTTTCGACTTGGCCATTTCCTTGGGGGTACGCCACCGAAGAGCGATTGTGCTTGATCCCGAAGCCCTCCAAGTATTCGGTGAACCTCGGATTTCGGAATTGTGGGCCGTTATCGGTGATGAGGTTCATGGGCGCTCCAAACCTCGTGACAATGTTCTTCCAAATGAATTTCTTGCATTGTTGCGTGGTAATGTTGGCCAATGCTTCGGCCTCGATCCATTTGGTGAAGTAATCGATGGCTACGATCACGAACTTCTTCCCTCCTTGGGCGACTGGGAATGCTCCAATGATATCAACACCGAACCTAGCGAATGGGATGACATTCGATACGGGGTGATAGTAGGTCGCCGGTCTACCGGGGTACTTGTAGAACACTTGACATGTTCTACATTTCTGTACATACCTCTCACAATCCTGGACAATTGTTGGCCAGTAATACCCCAACAAGATGATGCGCTAGGAAAGCGTACGGGACATTTGATGCGCCGCGCATACGCCTTCGTGGACTTCCGCTATGACTCGTTCAGCCTCCCGGTTGGTCAGACATCTCAGGAGTGGCCCCCCAAACACCCTTTTATACAGCTTTCCATCAAGAATCTGGAATCGGGGTGCCCTGAGCTTCACTTTTCTTGCCCGGTCATCTTGTTCTGGCAAGCTCCCATCCATCAAATATTCCATCAGATCATACATCCAATGGTCGTCCGCCCCGACCAAGTTTGACCGGTCAAATTGGCTTCTGGTCGTTATAGCGGCGACTTCCAATTTTTCGATGCTTGCACGGTCAAGGACCTCTAACCGGGCAAGTTTTGAAACATCCTCAGGAGCATACTGCGTCAATTTGGAGAGAAGGTCTGCATCCGCGTTTTCCGCCCGGGGAATTTGGGCGATCTTGAATTCTTCGAAGCCTTCCAACAGGGCAAGTACAAGGTCCTTGTATTGTGCCATGCGTCCTTCCCTTGCTTCCATGTTACCGGTCACCTGCCCAACTATCATGCTAGAGTCAGATTTGATACTGACCCGACTGATTTTCAGGGCTTGGGCAAGTCTGAGCCCTCCAGCCAGAGCTTCATACTCTGCCTCATTGTTCGTCAGCTTGAAGTTGAAGACGATTGCATGGTAGATCTTGAACCCTTCTGGGGTGGTGAACACGATACCACCCCCGTATCCCCTAGGACCGGATGCCCCATCAACTGCCATCTCCCACCATTGCACAACGGGCTTGTTGACCGGTAGGTCTGGAGTTAGACCGGTCATTTCTACCAAGAAGTCAGCAAGGACCTGTCCCTTGATTGCTGACCTTGGCCGGTACTCAATATTGAATTGAGTTAACATCATCGCCCACTTCACCATCCTCCCAGAGGATGTTGAATTTTGCAACACTGCACCCAGCGGTTGGTCAGTCAAGACTTCTACCGGTTGAGCTTAGAAGTAGGATGTTAACTTTTTTGCGGAGATGAAAAGCGCATAGACTGTCTTTTCCATCGCCGTATATCTACTCTCGGCCCCATTTAGTGCTTTGCTCACATAATAAATGGGCTTTTGCGCCCCATCATCTCTTATTAAAACGGAGATTACAGCATTTGGGGAAATTCCCAGGTATAGATACAGAGTTTCACCCGGCTCAGGTTTAGACAATACAATATCAGACGCTAGGTACTCTTTCAGCTCCTTAAATGCCCTCTGGCATTCTTCGTCCCGTGCGAATGTGTTTGCCTTCTTCAGAACTTTGAAGAAGGGCAGGGATCTCTCAGCTGACCGGGAAAGGAACCGGCCGAGGGCCGCTAAGCGACCAGTCAACTTTTGAACATCCCTAACGGAGGTAGGGGCTTGCATTTCAGTGATAGCCCGGATTTTTTCTGGGTTGGGCTCTATTCCTCTCTTGGTCACCATGAATCCCAAGAACTTCCCGGTGCGAACCGCGAAGACGCATTTCTTAGGATTCAGCCGGAGGTTGTACCTTGCCATGATATCGAACGTGGCTCGCATATCAGCCGGGTGGTTCAGAGATACCTGACTTTTGATCAGCATGTCGTCGACGTATGCCTCCATGGTCTTTCCCAGTAGTGGCTTGAAGAGTTTGTTCACCATGCGCTGGTAGGTTGCCCCCGAGTTCTTCAAGCCAAACGCCATTACCCAGTAACAGTAGGTTCCTTCGGGTGTGAGGAATGACGTCTTCTCTTCATCTTCCTTGGACATGTAGATTTGGTGGTAACCTTTGAAGGCATCCATGAAACTTAGGAGTTCGCACCCCACAGTTTCGTCCACCATTTGATCTGGACTGGGGAGGGGGTATGAATCCATCGGACAGGCCTTGTTCAAGTCCGTGTAATCCACACACATTCTCCACGTGTCGCCCTTGGGAGCGAGGACAACGTTGGCCAGCCAATCCGGGTATTTGACCTCCCGGATGTGACCAACACTGAGGAGGTCTTTCACTTCCTTCTTGACGAAGTCTCGCCGGTCACTGGCCAGGTACCGCTTCTTCTAGCGTACCGGTCGACTTCCTTCCCTCACGGCCAACCGGTGGTAGATAACAGAGCGATCTATCCCGGGCATATCCGCCACGCTCCATGCGAATATGCCCGCGTATTCTTGGAGGACCCGTGTGATTTCTACCTTGAGATCCTCGGGAAGTTTTGCTCCAATTTGGACCATCCTCGAAGAATCACCCGGGTGAAGTTCGATTTCCACCGTCTCGGCCTCGGGCTCCAATTTCTCACGGGTCTCTCCCTTTGTGATTTCTTGGGAGATGACATTGACCCCCTTGGTCATTTTCTTGACTGCCCGAGCATAGCACTCCCGGGTGTTCCTCTGGTCGCCCTTCACCTCACCCACACCACCTGGAGTGTGGAACTTCATGCATAGATGAGACATGGAAATCACCGCCCCGACTCTGTTGATGCCTGGCCTTCCAAGAATTGCGTTGTGGACGCATTTGATGTCCACAACTATGAACCGCATCTTCTTCCACACGGTAGAACTATGGATCCTTTAGCTTCAATGGTGTCCCCCGTGAAGCCTGAGAGAGGGGTTTTGAGGGGTTCAAGTTGTGTTCGACACAACCTGAGTTTTTGGAAGGTCTCCAGGTATAAGATGTTGACACTGCTGCCGGTGTCAACAAGTACCCGGGCGACATCCACCCCATTAATGTCCATGGTGATGACCAATGGATCATTGTGATCTTCACCGGTAGAAGGGAGATCCCGGTTAGTGAAGACGATAGGCTCCCTCCTAGTATGTTTACGCCTGGGCGGTTCAGCACTTACCTCTCCAACGTAAATGCTCCGGACCCAGTTCTTCCGCTGCGCGGCTGAATCTCCACCCTCGGGTCCGTCGAAGATCATGCCGATGTGCTCTTTTTCGGGAGCAGGTTATCGCTCCCTTGGCCGGTTATTCCTCCGCCGGTCGTTGTCCCGGTCATCCCCTGGGGTAATCGGCCTAACCCATTGATGACTCTTCTCCTGAGCTTTCTGCAAGTAATCTTTGCCCAGCTCCCCACTGTCGATCATCTGCCGGATGACCCCCTTAACACTTTTGCATTCGGAGGTGTTATGGGAATCTGACCTGTGGTATGAACAATAGGTGCCCGACCACTGCCGCCCTACTTGACCGGTAGGGTTTTCTGGAGGAATGACCGGTGCTTTCCGGATTTCTTGGCATTCTTTCGTATTGATCACTCGGATGACCGGGTCATAGTGGTGCCTCGGCCGGCTAGGTTCCGGTGCTTCTTCCTTCTTGACTTGCACCGGCTTGGGCTTGTGACCATGCTCAGCTTCTCTCTTTGCCCGGAGCTGGGTCTCAGCCTCAGCAAACTCCCATGCAGTGTGGTAGGCCTCTTGGTACGTGGCTGGGGGTTTCCGGCAGAACTCCTTGTATAGTTCCCCAGCACGCAAGCCATTCAAGAGGAGGGAGAGGACGGTCTTGTCATCCATCTCTTCCACCTTGTCCACCTCTTCCTTCCACCGGGTAAGGAACTGAGCAAGGCTCTCAGACTCCCTCTGCCCGGCTGTACTAAGATAGATGAATTTCTTCCTCTTAGTACAATTCTTCTGGAACTTGGCCTTGAACTTTGAGGCCAAATCACTGAATAAATCAATGCTTCTCGGGCGAAGCTTATTGAACCATTCAGTGTCTCAGTTCCGCAAGGTCTAGAAGAAAAGAAGGCACTTTTCTTCATCGGTGCAACCGTTCATGGTCGCACTCTGGTTGAAGGAATCCAGATGGATTTCCGGATCTTCCTTCCCGGTGAATCTGGGGGCGTCGATCTTGACCTTTCGCGGGAAAGGTGTCAGATGGACCCTTGTGGTGAACGGGGACCCCGCCAAGGGTTTGTCCCGGTCATTCTTCTCTCCGACCTTCTTCTCCAGCCTTTCTAGTTTTGCCTCCATCTGCTGGACACGGTCATTTGGGATGGTCAACCGGTTCGCCACCAATAACCTGGGCTGGCTCTCAGCTTCCTCTTCCTGACGAGAGGCCCTCGTCCTTGCTGGCTCCTGCCGGTTAGACCGGGAGCGCCGGGTGTGGGCAGGCTCGGCCTCCCGCACCTCGCCTAGCCGGGCGAACGCGCTGACATGGGCAACGCTCTGCCCCAGCCTTTCGAAGGCGGAGTTTCGGGAGGTTGCTGGCCGGATTTTTTTTCCTTTCTTCTTCTTGTGGGCCCTTGGAACGTCCCACTCGCCGTCATCGCTCTCAATTGAGACGCAATGACCATCAGGGGTGACTTGCGGATTCGTACCCTGCGGGGGACGCGACGGCCCTGCAGCGTTAAGTGCGCCGGTCAAGTTGACAGGGGCCACGGTGCTGACCAGCTGGGGCTGGAAAGGTGATGGCTGCGGCATCGGCGTTTGGAACGACGTCACCGCCATCGGAGCTTGTAGGGGCATGGCTCCCGCGCCTGGAAGGGTGAATGGGAACATACCGGGGAGGAAAGGCATCCCCCCGCTCTGCTGGCACATGGCCATGACCTGGCCAAAGCCCTGGATGGCTTGTAGGTTGGCTGGGTCATTCATGAACTGAGCCATGCTTGGTGGGAACGTAACCCTCGGTCCAGCGGAAGGGACGGGGGTCGCGAAGGGACTGATCACGCTAGCCGTCGGGACAGAGCTCAGACCCACAGGCAACACCGGGGCTGAAATGACCGATATGGTAGCAGCCACAGGGATGCTGGTACCCTCGTTGGTGGCATGCATCTGAGTGGAAGTAGCGTTGATCTGTTGGCTGGAAGACATTTCGAGTTGCTTTCTTGTGGGTAGGTTTTAGAAGAGAAGAATTCTTAACGGTCCCACGGGTGGCGCCAAAAATGATTGTGTAAATTATTTGACCGGTCAAACTATACTAGACCGGGTCTAGAATAGTTTGCTTGATTTGGCAAAGTAAGAAAGGTAAAAACTCGTGGATTGACCGGTAGGACTTTAGGTGGAACACCTGTAGCCCAATTTATATTATAACGGAGAATGCACGGGTGCTTTTACAAGGGAGTTTAGAGGAAATGAATCCGGATCCCCTTCCTCGAGGGTTACATGAGGTATATATACTAAGCTGGGGGGACAGGACCACGTGCACCCACGTGGGGGCATGCTGCTGATGTGGTGTTATGACTGTCCCTGAGCCACCTTGTAATCTTGCGAGGGGGATTACCCTCCTTGTCACGTTCTGGCTTGGAAATATTCCTCCAACATCTCAGTCATGCCAACCACTACAGTCCAAGTCATTTTGGATCCTTCCTGCCGACACTCGTCGACCTTGAAATACTACCCCGGCTGGTCATCGTGGGTTGATTAATGGACTTCGGAAATTGGTCCCACAGACTTGAGTAAGTTGACCGGTATACTATCCGAAGTATACCGGTCAACTTTGCGGTCGATCCGTCGTCTCTTTGCCACCGATATGGACCTTTCTCTCAAGTTTGACCTTTTTGACCGGTCAACTATCTGGCTCTGATCTCTGACCAGTCATGGGTGAAATACACCCATCTTCGCCGATTTCAGAGAAACGAAGGCAGCAGCTTCGTTGCTGTGACGGAGCTGCTGATTTCGGTAAGGTAAAATCAAAACTTCTTATTTTCAATTTCATTCCTAGATGCTAAAATCGTTTTGAATTCTCCCAAACAGTTCCGAAATGATCCTCAATTCCATCTAGGGTTTTTATTTCCTTCAATTTCTAGATGTCACAAGGCTAGATTTTTTTAAGATCTTCCATCATCCCCCTTTTTTTTGTATAAAATATTTGATAAGGGGTTTTAAAAAAACTCTTGTTTATTCTCTGTCCAAATCTTGTTGTATGAAACCCTCTTTCTTGAGAAAGTAAATCCTTTTGGAGCAGAGTTTGGTTTTAAGAATCTATTTCATCTATTTCTTTGCTTTTAAACAAAAATGTATTCAACTTTGAATAAATAAGAAAGTCCTGTGTAGGATTGAAGTATTCATCATCTCTCTGAAATTTGAAGAATCAATTTGCGCAGGATTTCAGTTTGAGGAAATCTTGTTTTTCAAAAATGCAATTTTTTTTACAGCCAAAGCCTTGTAGGAATAAAACAACATAGAGTGAACTCCTTTCTTTCGGATTTGAGGAATCATTTTGAGTGGAAATTTCTAGTTGGAGAAAACCATTTACTCTCTTTTTTAAAAAAAAAATTATCTTATGCTTTCTTCTTAAATTCCAAAATCTCTCTTTTTCCTTTTTTTTTATAAAAATACTATTTTTATTATATATATATATATATATATATATATATATATATATATATATATATATATATATATATATATATATATATATATTCGTGTGTAATTTATTTTACTTATAAAAGACAAACATAGAAAAATCTAATAAACTATCATAAACAATTTAAAGGTATAAAGTATTATTCCCACTCACCTGGTTGGGTTGGGTTGTAGAAGCTATTGTTGTTCCTCCTTGTTTTCCTTGCCGGGACAAAAGAAAATTGAAGGGCTACGGTTGATTGCTAAACTACCACTAGCAGGAGTGGGTGATTTATTTTTTTATAGCTAAAGTATGTTTGCATATTTCTTGTAAAAATTTTGTGCGTAGAGTTCCATGCTTGGATGGGTTTATATATTATGGAAATCTTTCAATGTATACACATAAAGTGGTTGATGTCTTTACTCTTCATGGAATTTTCTCGTGATACTCTTAATAGAGTTGGGGCCTTCATGCTGCACAAAACTTGATGTTTCACAGTATTACTTTTATTGGAGTGGGCTCTTCCCACTATTATTATTTATCTATTGTCACCTTCATCATTTATTTACTTATTTGTTTATTAGCATTTTTTTGGTATCCAATGTACAATTTATCCAACCGTAAAATATTCCTTCAAGTTTATATTAGAATATTTCTCTGAATTTATTCCATTATAAAATTTGAAACATGAAATTTTGAGTATTACAAGTTCTCCCCACCTTAACAGGATTTCGTCCCCAAAATCAACTATGAGAACAGAGATGGGTATTGAGCTCTCATATGAGCCTCTGTTTCCCAAGTCTATTCCTCCACTCTATCGCTCCTCCAAAGGACTTTTACCATCGGTACATTCTTGCTACAAAGCTTCTTTATCTGATGATCTAAGATTTCCACTGGTGTAACAGCATAGTTAAGATGCTCACGGATCTCAATTGGTGGTGCTATCAGAATGTGAGATGGGTCCGGTACGTACTTCTTCAACATAGATATATGGAAGACACTATGGATCTTTTCCAATCTGGGGATAGTTGCAAACGGTAGGCAACATGTCCAATCCTTTCAATTATAGGGAAAGGTCCCACATATCGGGGATTTAGTTTCCCTCGATTCTGGAATCGAATAATCCCTTTCCATGGTGAGACTTTCAAGAATACCTTATCCCCAACATTGAACTCTAGCGGTCGACGTCGTTTGTCAGCGTAACTCTTTTGTCTGTCTTGTGCAGCCTTCAATGCTTCTCTGATCTTCTTCACCTTCTCCTTTGTAATCTCTACCAGTTCCGTCCCTTCAATCTTGGCAGTACCTACCTCGTCCCAACAAAGTGGTGTACAACATCGTCTCCCATACAATGGCTCATATGGGGGCACACAAATACTAGCTTGGTAACTATTGTTATAAGCAAATTCTAGCAAAGGGAGGTGCCAGTCCCAACTTCCTTGGAATTCAAGCGCATAAGCTCTTAGCATATCTTCTAGGATCTGAATCACTCGTTCGGGTTGTTCGTCTGTTTGCAGGTGGAACGCCGTGCTGAACTTCAACTTGGTTCCCATTGACTTTTGGAATTTAGGCCAAAATCTTGAGGTGAACCGTGGGTCTCGATCCGACACTATTGACACTGGAACACCGTGGAGACGAACTATTTCATTAGTATACAACTGTGCTAACCGCTCGAGACTATAGGTCGTATTGATAGGCAAGAAGTGTGAACTCTTGGTTAACCTATCAATGATTACCCATACGGCATCAAAGTTCTTCGTAGTGCGGAGTAATCCAACTACAAAGTCCATCGTCACATACAACCGCAAATTTTTCAAGGAGAAAAACAAAAGATCACAATATCCTGCCGGTAGGCATTGAAGTATGTATACCAGTAGGTGCGTGAAAAATTTAAGTCATAATTTATCACATACTCTGTATGCGGTGGGGAAGGCACCAGCTCATAACAAAACTCAAAATTAAAAATGTACTCCGGTATATTTGATATGCGGACTTGCCCCTAGCAATTTGGATTTTGTGTAGAAAGGTAAAAAAGGAAAGAAAAAAAAGTAAATTAAAGTCCAAATCATGAGTAATTTTGCATGCCCAAAATTGGAAAGTATGGGAGCTCGGGGAGATAAAGCGTATCAAAAAGTAGGCATATATGGGTCATGCACTAATTAATGGTCAATGTGTCTCATTTACCTTCCACACCCTAGAGACTCATAATTGTCATCCAAATTCATACAAAGTGTGTACCCCTGGTGTTGTACTTAACCTCTTCAACTCTTCAACCAAACACATTTACTCTTCATTTATTAACTATAATAATAATAATAATAATAATAATAATAATAATAATAATAATAATAATAATAATAATAATAATAATAATAATAATAATATCAATAATAATAATAATAATAATAATAAAGGATGTGCCCCATCGATTTTCACTTTGTGCCTAATGGTGTAAATTAACCATCCGGGCAATCTGATTGTGTTGCCTTTTAAAAAAATCTTGATGTGATGACATCGGCTGATGTACTCTGCTATTTCCCTCTTCATTCCGGACCACCAGTAACTTTCCTTCAAGGTGTGATACATTTTTGTTCCTCCTGGGTGCATCGCATAGGCAGAGCAGTGAGCCTCTTCCAAGATTGCTTTCTTTAGTTATGGGTCGTTAGGGACACACACTCAGTTTCGAAAAGTGAGTATCCCATCATCCTTTATCTTGAAATCTTCTACTTCACATGTTTGGAGACGCTCCTATATCTTTTGAAGGTCTACATCCCAGGCATGTTTGTTCTTTATTTCATCTAGAAGTGTGGGCCGCACTTCAAATTTGGCTAAGAGGGTTCCTTCGTTGGTTACGTCAAGTTGTACTATTAAGGCACGGAGGGTGGTTAGAATTTCCTTCCTAGGATTTGACTCTTTACGACTAAGAGCGTCTGCCACCACGTTGGCCTTTCCAGGATGGTAGTCGATTACTAGATCATAATCCTTGATGAGTTCCATCCACCGTCGATGCCTCATGTTTAACTCCTTCTGTGTAAACACATACTTGAGACTTTTGTGATCGGTGAAGATGTGACAGGTTTCCCCATAAAGATAGTGCCTCCAGATCTTGAGTGCAAACACCACGGCGGCTAATTCCAGATCGTGCGTCGGGTAGTTCAATTAATGTGGCTTGAGCTGTCGTGATGCGTAAACTATCACTCTCCCATTTTGCATGAGCACACACCCTAGTCCATTTAAGCTTGCATCACTGTAGATATCATAGCCAATCCCTTGTACATGTAGTGCAAGAATTGGTGCCTCTGTCAGCCTCTTCTTCAATTCCTTGAAACTCTTCTCACACTTCTCATCCCATATGAACTTGACACCCTTTCGAGTTAGTTTTGTCAAGGGTGAAGCAAGTACTGAGAATTTTTCTACAAATTTGCGATAGTAGCCTACTAAACCTAGGAAGCTCCGAATTTCCTAAGCATTCTTTGGTTGGGGCCACTTCGTGATAGCTTCAATCTTTTGATTGTCCACAGTTACACCAGCTCCAGATACTGTGTGCCCAAGGAACCCAATTTCTCTAAGCCAAAACTCACACTTTGAGAACTTGGCATACAATTTCTTTCGTCTCAACGTCTCGAACACGATCCTGAGGTGTTGTTCATGCTCATTTTGATCTTTTGAGTAATCAAAATATCATCGATGAAAACAATAACAAACCGATCAAGGTAAGGGTGAAAAACACGATTCATCAGGTCCATGAACGCTGCTGGAGCATTTGTGAGACCAAAAGGCATTACCAGAAACTCATAGTGGCCATAACGTGTTCGGAATGCGGTTTTTGGTACGTCACCTTCCTTTATCCTAAGCTGATGATATCCGGACCGAAGATCGATCTTAGAGAAGATGGTTGCACACTTGCACCACGCAATTGGTCGAACAGGTCATCGATTCTTGGTAACAGATACTTATTCTTGATAGTTGCCTTATTAAGTTGTCGATAATCAATGCACATCCTTAGTGATCCATCCTTCTTTTTAACAAACAGAACCGGCCTCCCCATGGTGAGAAACTTGGTGAGATAAATCCCTTGTCCAGTAACTCCTGCAATTGCTCCTTCAACTCTTTGAGCTCCGCAGATGCCATCCGATATGGTGGAATGGAAATTGGTCTGGTACCAGGTTGCACCTCAATCTCAAACTCAATTTCTCTATCAGGGGCCTGGTAGATCTTCTGGGAATACTTCTGAATACTCACGAACTATCAGGACATCTTCGAGCTTCACCTCTTCCTTGTTGGTGTCTACTATAAATGCGAGATACGATTGACACCCCTTCCGGACGAGCCTTCGTGCTCCCAACGCGGATATCACACATCCAGGAAGGATTTCTCTATCTCCTTTGAACTGGAGTTGATGTCCATTTGGGTGTTTAAGATCCACCATCTTAGCAAAACAATTTACCTTTGCTTGGAATTTCTCTAACCAGTTCATTCCAAGGATTATGTCAATATCATGCATATTTAGTGGCACAAGATTGACTCTAAGGGTATGGCCATTTATTTCTATCGTACAATTGGAGTAGTGCTTAGTTCGTTCCACTTGCTCTCCTAGTGGTGTAGATATTACCAACGTGTGACTCATTGGTTCTTCTGAGGCGTTTAGCTGTACTGCAAAACCCTGTCTTACGAATGATCGTTGGGCCCCGGTATCGATAAGGAGTCTAGCTTCCCTACCTTTGATTTTTGTGATCCCTACAGGTTTAGACCTATTTAGTATCCTAGTGGTTTTCACTAAGAGCACAAAGCATCTAAAAGTTTATATCTAGAACATACCCGTGATAGCCTCTGGGTTGGCCTGTGCTTCTGTTTGATTCATAGCGTACACACGTGCTTGTGTGCGGTTCTGATTGACCGATTATGTTTGTGTCGTCACTTTCTACGTCCTCTGGTTGGTATTCGCAGGCCTCGTATTCCCTCCAACGGTGTGACTTTCGACCACAGTATTTCCTCCCCTCTGTTGCTATGGGCATTCGGCCTTCATGTGTCCCGTGTTTCCGCACCCAAAGCATCGTAGTGGTTGGTTGCATTTCCCAGAGTGGTTCTTTCCACAATTATGGCAATAATCATTGTGCTTTATGCCAATCATGGCTGGAGCGCTTCGGGTTGGTGGTCGCGGGGCTTTGAAACTGCTAGTCCCAGAGCCCTTGTTTTGATAAGTCTTCTTTGTTGGGGGATCACTGGACCTTGTGTTCTTCCTTTTCCTATTTTCCTTGTTACACTGCATCCTTTCCTGGAATAGCACTTCTCCTGCCTAAGCTGCTAGTATTGTCTGATTGAAGGTCATCCCTTTCGTGTATGCCTTAGCCCTTTCACGAATCCCAAGGTTAAGGCTCATCCAGAAATGTGAACTCGTGTGGTTTTCATTCATGGCGAACTCAGGTAGATAAGTTGCTAGGTCACGGAATTTTCTTTCCAATTCTGCCACAGACAACCTTCCTTGTTTGATATCATTATACTCTCGCTTTTTCTGGACTTCTGTGGCAGGGTAAAACTTATCATAGAATTCCATCTCAAATTGTTCCCATGTTACTTCACCCTGGTAGCGACTTCGGATCTCGTCCCACCAGAGCTCTGCAAAGTTTTCCAAGAGATAAGTTGCCACTTCTCTTTTTACTTCTGGGGTCAAGCGTAAACTCTTCCCTACTTCCTTTACTCTCTTTATCCAATCCCGAGCCTTCGAGATATCTCCAGCCCCGTCAAATGTCCTACACCCTAGTGCTCTAGCCTCCTTTAGGTATCGAGCTATACTGAAAAATTGAGGATGGTGTGCCACCTCATTTTTCTTTGGTTGATTCACTATGACGGAGCCTTCAGCCTGTGCGGGAGGATTTTGCGGCACAGGTTGTTGTTCTTGGGGAATCGGTTGCTCCATTGGTTTCACATGAGTTTGATTGAGGGGTTGTTGTTGCGCCACTGGTACTTGTTGGGCTATCGGTTCCAGTGGTGGATTGTCCACGGGCTGACCCTGGGGTTGGTTCTGGTACCATTCTAAAAATGCTGCCCACATTTCCGGTGTAGGTACAGGCATATTTGGAGGTGCAACTTGAGGTTGTTGTTCTTGTTGAGGGGTGTGCTCCCCTTCAGATTCCCGTAGAGTCTCGATGTGAATGTCATTCGAACCCCTCGAATGCGGAGCCCTTCCCCCACCACGCGCTTGACTAAGGGATCTTCCTCTTCCCGCCATCTCTAATATATAAAACGGAGATACATAAAATTTATGGATTGTAGTTGGAAGGTCGTGACTAATCCTTTGGGTGGTCTTATCGTAGCACCCCTAATTGTTAAGGGCGCCTTCTTAACAACTAGAGTTCTATGACATAACCTTCCCAAACTCATAGTCACTAAGAAGGAAATTATGCTCATGTTTTGAAGGATCAATGAGATTGTGGTGAGGACTTCGAAAATGATTTCCTAAAACTTGATGCTCTGATACCACTTTTATTGTCACGACCCGGACCACCCGGCGACGTGGACAACCGCCGTACGATTCATGGGTCCCTTTATCGAAAGGAATCTATGAATCATACAAGGCTAACAATATACATGTATCACATCAAGCTAAACATAATCACTTTATTTATTAAGATAAGATCAGAGTTTAAGCGGAATTACCACATGCCAGCCACGAAGGGAAATTTAAAGAAACAACATGATTGGAATAGTTTAAGAAAACAACATGAGCATAATAAAAACTTCAAAGAGACATGTCCACAAACCACACTGAGGACGTGTTTGCAACTACAACAACAGATTCACGAGGAAATTCCAGCACGAGGACGGCTACGCACCTAAAATAGTTAAGAGGAGGGGTTAGTATAACGCCATATCGTGTACTGGTGAGGAGAGAAATACGATATCCTAGTAATTTGTTTATGACAGTGTAAACACATGTCTACTATTCTTTTGTTTCCAACATATTCATCATTTCTATCCTTTGGGGAAGCCCCTCTTTTGTGCTCAAGCTAACTGATCAAGTTATCTTGGAACACCAGCCGAGGTGTCTGTCTTGTTGGACATGAGTTCAAACCCCTTTATTATTTTTGGAATATTTTTGTTTTGATGAATGACAAACAAGATGATTAAATTCAAAGCTGATCGAAAATTTATTTTTCGTATCGAGAAAAGCAAAGAGGCGTATCAAGATATTTACGGCGATAAAAATCAAATGCTTACCCCTACGCAGATTTTTGAAGTGAAGTAAAGATTCCGAAGACTTTTTATTTTTTTTGAGTCTAGGAATTTTTGTAAGGATGACAATAATTTTTGGATTAACAAATTATTTTTTGAGGGATATAAAAAAATTATTTTCTGAGTCAGTTGAAAAATTATTTTTCTCTGTCTAAAAATATTTTACTAAGTCATTTTCAAAATAGTGTGTCAAAATTTCTTAAAAATACTTTTTAAGGATACACAAATCTTTTGTGGTAAGAAAAATTTACTTTAAATATTTTTTCGTGTACATCGTTTGACACACAAAATAATTTTTGGACTCACATTTTCTCCCCTATTCAAAATTCATTGAATAAGGGATATCATTTGAGGAGCGTTCCTGTTATTCTCGTTGTCTCAAACAACGAGTATAAAGCCAAAGGCTTTCTATCGCAATTCGCCTTGGGCCCTTTGTGTTTTTGCGCATTATTCTCTATTTAATCGATTAATAGTCTCTTTTTAATCGATTAGATCCAGTTTCTTTTCGCTGGATTTCTCAGGCCTTATATTTAATCGATTTATTCCTCTCATTTAATCGATTAGTTGAGACAGCCCCATCTAATCGATTTTTCTCTCTTTTTTAATCGATTAATTCCACCTTTGCATACTGGCCTTTTCGCTTCTGTACACTTTAATCGATTAAAGTCCCTAATTTAATCGATTAATTCTGTCTGGTGCCTATTCTCAATACTTTTCAGTGGCTCCAAGGGATCTTTTATCCTTAGCCTATTTAATCCCTCTTTCCCCTTCATTTCTAGATACAACTCTTGCACTCCAATACATTCATTGAGCTATATCTTTCTCTTGCTTTATCTTCCTCATCAAATATTATTTTTGAGAGTGAGAAATATTTTTTTATTGAGTGCTAAAGATATTGTCATCCATAGAGCTTTCATATTTCAACACTTCTTGCTCAATTGTGTGAGCTTTCATTCTTGTGTTGTAAACTCAATCCTATTTGAGTGTTGCTAAGACTTGTGTGATTCAAGTCTTGTTGTTAAGGCTTGTGTGACTCAAGTCTTGTTGTAAGAAGTTGAGGCTTGTGTGATTCAAGTTCTCGAGTTGTACCGGTTTTTCAAGCACCCGTTGAATCTTGAAGTTTAGTAGGACTTTCGAGAGAGTCTCTCGGAGGACTTGACTAGCCACGAGGTGGTGAACCAGTATAAATCTCGGTGTTCTTCTTTCCCTTACTTTTTAAATTCATTCCAGCGATTTTTATATCACACGCGCGAAAAACGCACATTTTTGAAAACAACTCTATTCACCCCCCCCTTCTAGAGTTGCACATTTGTCTAACATGTCTCAAATATATACAATTTTGTTCTCACACTATAGTGAAAAATAATCCCGCAGGATTAGTCTTTTGTTTTAAAGAAAATTTCTTAGAAAAGCCTTAGGGTGTTCATGGCTAAAGCCTAACCCTATTCCCAAAAAAACCTCGGCGTTAGGGCGTGTTAGTCTTAGTGGTGGCGCTAAGCACTAACACTTGGGAGGTACTCAAAGTAGCTCCTCTTATTTGTGGGCTAGGAAGCAATCACATGAGATCCTTCCTACCCGTTCCCAATAATAGCGACCGGCATCCGGACCTATTATTATTATGCGTCCACTTAGGGAGGCACTATGAAAATAATATACGGCTGAGATTTATCCACCGATGGCTATAAAGCCATTTACCTATAGGGTCCAACTAATAATAGCATCTCAGTTTACAAAATTCAGAGATCTATTATTATTCTGTATCCAACAGGAGACAGTATATTCTATCTCATGACTTACTACTTCAAGGTTACAAAATCATGACACAACAATTTAAAAATGTCCAAACCATAACCTTTAAACGTTTTGGAGTGAAATTATGTATTTTATTAAAATACATAAATCCTAACAGTTATAGTCCACACTTCAGGCCCGTTACACTTTAGCCTAAAACTTTACTCTTCTCTAAAACCTATTTCTTATCTAGAAAATCTACTGGGCTCTGATTCATTCATTTGCGTCGGAATAAGGAGAGAGAGAAAGGAGATCCGTTCCAGGCATCTTCCTCGCTAGTTTGAGCTGACCCCATCCTTCGCCAATTTCAGAGAAACGAAGGCAGCGGCTTCATTGCTGTGATGGAGCTGCTGATTACGGTAAGGTAAAATCAAAACTTCTTATTTTCAATTTCATTCATATATACATACATACATACATACATACATACATACATACATACATATATATATATATATATATATATATATATATATATATATATATATATATACACCTAGAGCTATCTCTACTGTAATCTCTTTGGACAAACTTGTCCCCTTTATTAGAGTGCAATAAAAACCTCCCCCTTAATATATATATATATATATATATATATATATATATATATATATATATATATATATATATATTCGTGTGTAATTTATTTTACTTATAAAAGACAAACATAGAAAAATGTAATAGACTATCATAAACAATTTAAAGGTATAAAGTATTATTTCCACTCACCTGGTTGGGTTGGGTTGTAGAAGCTATTGTTGTTCCTCATTTTCCTTGCAGGGACAAAAGAAATTGAAGGGTTATGGTTGATTGCTAAACTACCACTAGCAGGAGTGGATGATTTATTTTTTTTATAGCTAAAGTATGTTTGCCTATTTCTTGCAAAAATTTTATACGTAGAGTTCCATGCTTGGATGGGTTTATATATTATGGAAATCTTTCAATGTATACACATAGAGTGGTTGATGTCTTTACTCTTCATGGAAATTTCCCGTGATACTCTTAATAGAATTGGGGCCTTCATGCTGCACAACACTTGATGTTTCACAGTATTACTTTTATTGGGGTGGGCTCTTCCCACTATTATTATTTATCTATTGTCACCTTCATCATTTATTTACTTATTTGTTTATTAGCATTTTTTTGGTATCCAATGTACAATTTATCCAACCGTAAAATATTTCTCTGGATGTATTCCATTATAAAATTTGAAACATGAAATTTTGAGTATTACATAGTTTGCCTTATTAAATAATTTCTCTCCTCATGCATGCATACTTTGCCTTATAGAATATAAATAATATTTTATATTTAAATTTTCTTTATATATCACTAACTATGTATTTTTTGAATTTTTGAGTATCAACATCAATAATATTTTTAAAAAGAAAAGATGATTAAATATTATTTATAAAGAACTCAGTTTTAAAAAGTACAAAACATAAAAAGCAAATACTAAAAAAGTACAATTTTGTTAGCGGTCGGCCGAGAACAACGAGAAGAGTATCGGGTAAAATTAGTCACTTGCATTTAAAGTCGGGATTCACTATTCCAACCCAAAAAACTTAAGCTGATAGGTAGGGCTTCACCTTTCTGTACATGGTAGTGGTATTTTTCTATATTTTTCGATGTGGGAACTGTAACACTCTTCCTAAAGTGGTAACTAGCTAGGTGTAGTTATCACTTGGACAAACGGGTCTAGCATCTCAATCTCTTATAATTAGCTCACACACCGGACGATGACTTATCATTCTCTTATAGCCACCTCAACCCAAACCACATATGGGTAGCCTCTTTTGCTAAACCCTCCAACAACCATGAAGAATTAAACCCGGCCAGAGACCTGCTCCGATACCATGTTAAAATTCCGGTGGGCCGAGAACAACGGAAAGAGTATCGGGTAAAATTAGCCACTTGCATATAAAGTTGGAATTTACTATTCTAACCCAAAAGCTTAAACTGATAGATAGGGTTTCACCATTCTATATATGCTAGTGATATTCTTCTTTATTTTCCAATGTGGGAACTGTAACAAATTAAAAAAACACATACTAAAAAAAGTACAATTTAAAAATAATTAAAGTATAATATAATTTGCCCTACGGTCCATCTCTCCTGGATAACGATTTTGCTGACAACGTCCTCGACAGGGAGTCTCTTCTAAGCGACGTATTGGTGGCAAGACTTTCCATTCACCAACATTCAATTTTTTTGAAAAAATGAACTGTTCAATAATAGTGAAAGATTTGTTATTTCCAATTAATCCACAATGTGATATTACAAGGGAATATATACCAGGAGAATACTAGTTATGTTAGGAAACACAATTAAGGTAACCTAAACATGTATGGTAACTAGGATATTCATAATACAATAATATATACATAATATATTTAAATATAGAAACACTATATTTAACATGCTCCCAACGGCACTAGCGACGATTGCCGGACCCCCAAGCTATCTCGAAACTCTGAGAAGACTATGGTTGGGAGACCCTTCGTAAAGATGTCTGCATACTGCAACGAGGAAGGGACGTGGAGAACTCGTATATGTCCAAGAGCTACCTTGTCTCGAACGAAGTGTATGTCAACCTCAATGTGCTTTGTGCGCTGGTGTTTGACAGGATTGGCAGAAAGATAAACGGCACTAACATTATCACAGAACACCAAGGTTGATCGGCTGAGCGGTTGTTGAAGCTCCAGGAGTAAGTTGCGCACCCAACTAACTTGAGCTACGGCATTTGCTATAGCCCTGTATTCTGCCTCAGCGCTGGATCGTGACGTGGTTTGCTAACGCTTGGTGGACCAAGAGATGAGATTGTCGCCGAGGAAGATGCAGTATCTAGTCGTGGACCGGCGAGTATTAGGACAACCGGCCCAGTCAGCATCCGAGTAGGCTCGCGTGGTGTCAAGTTTGACTTGCAGGATTGTAACAATGTTCACCCATTTTGTGTGGTTGACAATTAAGTTCAGGAAGGTTTGTTTCACCATTAGACTCTTCGAGCGTTAGAAGTCGTTTCGTAAGTCTATCTCGAGTTATTCTTCTCACTTTTGCGTTATTACGTCACAATTCATGTAGCATATCGTCATAGTCAGTTTCATGGCGTTATCCCTTCATACTTGTATTGCTCTCAAGAGGAGTCAACTACTGATGTCTACACATAACGGATTACTATTCGATTATTACTCATGTTCAGCAATGTTTTCGAGTCATCAGAGTTTCGGTTCGTTTTGCTCGGATCTATAGCAAGATATATTCTTAGTAACAATTAATTCGATCATTTATTTATCAACGTCTCTCTTACTGAATAGAAAGAAGATTCCTTAGCATGTGGTTACGTCCATGATCTTTGACAATGTTGAGGTACTTAAAACTTGCGGGTCTTCATTTTGAGAATTAAGTTACAGAAGCTCTCACACGTTTACTTGTAACGGTTTCATAACAACCTTTCGTTCAGCAAATCTTCATGAGATCTGATCAAAGGGGAGTTTTGATGCTTCAGGTGACGAGACACAACACTGCCTTCTTGCTCATATGTAACGTGTCTTCATTTTTGGTAAAGTAAAATCTTCACCGTTGAGATTTTCAGCGAGATTCTCCAAGAATCGCAGTAACATACAGACTGGTTCAATAGGGACACGATGATTCCTTAAATGCGTTTATTTAGATTACGTGCTACATTACGATTTAGTCAATTGTTTTGCATGGTACGAGTTTAAAAGTCAAAGTCATCGCTATTACATAGAGTTCTTGCCACACCAGGCATTGCTATCTTCAGAGGTAAGTCATCACCTGATTTCGGAAAGAGATTTTGACAATTCGTTATAGAGATAAAGTATCAAATCTCATGTAGAAGATTGACCACCATCAATGGGTCAGGTGGAAAACAAACATTGTAGTCAACGTAGGGATGTAGGTTACAGATAAACTTTAACGGTTCAAGAATATTAATCGTTTGTTTGTCACGATATTCAAACCTAATGTTCGTACAATCACACCCATACAACAAGGTCTTTCAAGAATTATTTCCTAAGGATCAGTCAGTCGTCAACGCATTTCTCGAGCGAGTCTTTTAGGAACCCCTTCATTATACGATCTGCATACATTCGTGATTAAATTCGAGGGATATCGCACGTTGATTAGTTAGTCGTCAGCTTTTTTTCTTGCGTAACAAGTTCCATCGTGATTCATCCATCATTGGCAAGTTTGATTTGCAGGTCAAGGGAACTTTGTCAAAAGTCAAAGCAACAATCGTTCCTTGGCGCGTCATACATCTCCTGCGTTTGCTAGGTATATTCGATTAGTGGCTCGCGTGGTGTCAATTGTCTAATAAAATTTCATACATGTCGTCTAACTGTTCGTGCGTCGTACTCATCGATGCTATATTCCCAGCATTCGCCGTGGTCATGCAGTCGTCGTCATTTGCATTCTTTCCCGACATGTTTATCAGTTCTACTGCACTACTGATTATCGATATATGGTCTCGTCAGATGCACGGCGTACCTTAGTCGTCATGTCCCTAAGAGCGCGTCGTACGCCCTACCTAGCTCGTGTAGTTCGTGTGGTGTTAAGAACAAGATTCTTCTCTTCACGTCTAAGTCACGTCAGGATGCGAGCTCAATCTTTCAGGTCCAGTGTTTTTGTGAAGTTGCGTCACGCGCATTCATCGTGCTCGTACTTGTTTCAACTTTGTACCCTCAATGGTTCGTTCTTCGCCAGAGTACTCGATGTAGCTCGGTGTTCAACATTATCGTGTTTTGCTCCTCTCAAACGGTACGTAGTGATATCGTAAGTATTGCTTTTTTATTAATCAAACAAGTTCTCCTTGCCCTTTATACGATCATTCCCATTTGACACCAAAATAAGACACACAAATCCATCCAGGTCTGCAGCCCCTTCAGGATTTGGTTATCCATTCCAGTGATCAAATGAGATAATCGAATATTAGACATGATATTTTAATATGTGTACATTGTTACACTCTTTTCTTTTGTAGCCTAGCATCTTGTCTTCAAATTTCATGCTACGTTCACCTTATAGTAAGTAGGTTCAATTTGGAAGACGTGAATTCTTATCTTAATCTATCGCATTTGAGTGTGCACAGTAATCAACTTGATACAACCATTTGAGCAATCAGCCCAACACAACTATTCAAGCTATCAATTCAGTTCAAGCACTTGAGCAATTAGTTCCACACAAATACTTAGGTAATAAGACAATAACTTTTTACCTTCCCGATACGCAGAGACGACGTGAAAGATGCGGATGCAGTAGTGGAAATAACTTTTGTCATTGTCAATATTATCAAAATAATACTGTTTCTATTTATTTATTTCCAAAATAGTAGTTGCAATGGTCCGAAGACCGATTTTAAAACCATAGGCTCTGATACCAAAATGTAACACCCCAACCCGCGTAACCCGAATAAATAGGTTAGCGAACCGGGTTGTTACTAAATTTGTATCCACACACAATATTTCCAATAAATCAAAAAAAACATTTAATTAAACATCCAAACATTTCAATTAGAACTTAAACGTTTATTAGAGTTAATTCAAAACAGCGCGGAAGCAAAACTGTTATTTTAAATATACATATTTAATAGATCATTATCAGAAAACGAGTTACAGTACAACCATCATATCTGTTAACGGTTCGAGTACTGCATCCGTACATCTCCTCCATCTCTATGCCCTCCAGGATTAGCTCGTTATTACCTACGTGTAGAAAGACAGAACAAACTACACGCTCAGCGATAAGCTGAGTGAGAAATATCTAACAGTTCGAACATACACTTAGATGAATCCACTAATTCACAATTATCACATGATATCATGCACACAACATGCTGGGCAACGATCATACGACATACAAGATATAACATGCATAGTCAACATTTATTTCCGCTCA